TTGCCCAACGTGTCCACCACCGGTTATTCGACAGTTTCAACTACTTGCTTTTCTCTCTCTCTCTCTCTCTTTCTTTCTGCTAGAAATTGTGATTTTGAACACATTAATAATATTTACACGTGGGAAAGAAAAGAGAAAGAAAAATCGAACTCGTTTCAAAGCATCTATTTCATTCTGAAACGTTCTTGCAGTTCGTGAGAAAATGAAGACTGAATTTAGATTTGAAGATTTCGTTTTATCGAACTTCGAATATTAGTTTTACAACAAGGAAATTAGTCAACAACAAGAAAAATTCCACACACACACACACACAGACAAAATCGTAAAATTTTCGACGTTATATTCGTTTTCACTTGACATTCAATTTTTAACTTGCGCGAATAAATTTTATAATACAACTGTTAATACATCAATACTATACAGGCTCTTTCTCGCATGAGACATTATTTAGTTTTAATATATGCAAATATTATTTAAGTTAAAATATTAAATAAAATTTAATTGAAATAATAATATTTTAATATTTTAAATGTATATTTAAATACACGTGAACATATATGTAGTAAAATACAAGGTGGAGTCATTGCGATTTTTTGTTGTACAAAAGGACTTCCGAGGACAAAATTGCGCTAGAAATAGTAACAGTATAATATATAATAGAAACAGTATGCGTCACATGCAACAGAATGTAATAACGTACCTGAATAGCAGTTGCAGTGTTACATAGTAGAAATACGCAGTAGTAAGTAGCACGTAATAAAATTACGCGGACATGTTCGTGGGGCAAGAATACACGGTAACAGATGGTGTTAAAAATCGAATTGAGATCCTGTTCAGTTTACTGAATGCGAGATAAAGACCACCACTTTCTACTCGATCGCTTCTCCTGTCATTGTTAGTCGGACCAAGGATTTCTTCTTCGTTTTGCCTCGCGTCCGACAGAACAACGACTCCACTACTGGATATCGAGCAGATACCCTTGACCGGCGTCTCTATCCACTGGGGTCGGGAAACCTCGCTAATGGGCCGCGATTTAAGCACCTCGATATCACGGCCAAAGAGGATTTGCCACGCTGTTGAGTTTAACACGTTCGAAAGGAACAATTTCCATTTATTCGCCGTCCGAACGTAGCGAACGGCGAAACCTCGGTTTCCCCGAAACCTCGAGTTCCTCTCTCACCACGATATCCGCCCCCCGGGAAGGGGGGGGGGTGAGGAACCGTTCGCTCGGAATACCAAAGGTCGAGAAACAGTAGCTAAAAGGATTAACTTCTCGTTTATGCGACAAGTTTCCACCGCAACGCGACCCAACCTTCTTTTTTTTCTGCCCTCCCTACCCTTCCAACCCGCCTCTCTGCTTCTACTTTCAAAGTCCCTTGGCTACACACTTTTCTACTCTCGTCGAGTATCAACCCTACTCACCTCTCGGAGCAGCTCTCGCGTCGCCAAGATTTCCGAAAGTTTTTCGCAGCCGAATGCGGGTCAGATTTTTCCATAAAATACCGGGAGGCCGGGATCTCTCGCCGACTGGATTCCTGATCTTCGCGCTTTCGCAGAACCCGAAGACACAGAGACGGAGCGCCGGGACGCGCTCTTTGCAAATTCAACGCTCGATAATCCGGCCTCATCCGAGGATTTCGCGGTTGCGAGCTTTCCTCTCCCTTCCTCCGAGGTGGATATTGAATTCGATGTAATATACAGCCGGTCGAAGCGAACTATATAACTCGAAGCCCATGTCTTGTTGTCTTTATCGTTCGGTTAACCGAACCTGCAAACGATCTCGATCGCGTGGCGAATTGTTCGCGGTGGAAAGCGACGAAATCTACGAACATCTGGGAATATCCAACGAGAGACATTATTTTTTTTTGTAACTGGTAGAAATTCACACGACGGCGAATTAACTCTTGATATATTGGATCATAGATCACTCTGTTAGGTTGCTAAAATTTTGGACAGTTAATTTCATTTTGTATTTTCAGTGAACTTTTTTTTAGTAGATATTTGTGAAAAAATATTTTCACAGAGAGGAATAAAGAGAAATTTACTGAATATTATTGTATCAACTACACTAAACTGCGTTTAATTTGCACAGTTTCACACATTGGATGGATTTTTGCACGTATTCAAATTCCCCGGAAATGCGTAGAAAATTAGTGATAAAATTGAAAATGCTAAAGTGAAAGTTTGGATAAAAAGTCCGAAAGTTCTACGACACCAGTGAAAAATCAAAATTGGTCAAAGTCCTTTCTTAGACTTCAAATAATAACTCCAAACTCGTTCAACTGATATTTCGTAGCAAGAATTAGATAAAAGCTTAAATAGAATTTCAACGGAAATTTAAATCAGGTTTTCGTTTTTTAAAACAAAATTCTTCTCAAACTTGTACATTTTTCGTATAAAGAAATATCTATTTTTTTTTTTTTTTTGCGGAATTTTTATCGAAAGAAACGTTGGTGCAGATATTTTCGAATCTGTGTAATAAAATTCCATGGAAACCAATTATTCTAGAATATTTAATTAAAAACCCATTTTCATATTAATCGAACAGCGCCTCGGTGTTAATACATCGACGATTAAATTCTTATTTTTCTATTCTACGACACAAGAAGAGGAATTTTTTATTTTTAAAGAACATTTATCTGTCTGTTCTCGTCGAGTAAGAACATTCCTCGAAAAAGTTCTACGATCCATGTTTCAAGTAGAACCTATTTAAGAGTTCTTCAACTTCGATCCCTGATTTAAATTCGAATGAAACCCCTTCGTTTCGCCCTAGCAATCGCCTCAAACTCGTTCGACTGATACCTCTTGATGGAAAAAAAAAAATCGATCGTTCGTTCGTCGAACAATGGTTAATAATGGTTTCAAATAAAATGGAACTACAGAGAATGCCAATCATAATACTATAACTATTTCCAGCAATAGCTCGCGAAGCTTCGCTGCTGAATGAATCGATTATAACGATGAGTTTTTTTAAATTTTACGCCAACTTTACGAACGTTTATCGCGTTTACGATCGAGGAGATCGAGGCGCGATCCAGGGATCTCGGAATTTAACGACGCGACTGCCATCGCGTAATTTCCAAGTACACAGCGTGCTTGCAGCGGCGCGGTGGGGGACGCTCGAGGGGGCGAACGATTTAACGTCGACGCGGCGTGATGCGTCGATTAGTATGCGCCCCGATGCTTCGTTCAAAATGTATCACGGGGTCGGGCGATTAATTATTAATACGTCAATTCGAGAACAGTATCAACGCCGACCCGCAGAAACGTCAACGGTGTCTGTTTCAACGCTGAGGCCACGAACGCTGAATTCCCAACCAATTACACGGTTCGCTGCTGGCTTCGTTGCTTTCATACCGTTATTATTAATTAATCGTCGAACAACGGTCGGCGTTTCCTTGCCTCAGTTTGCTCGTCTTCGATGAAACGTCGAGTCATTTTCATCTCTGT